GATATTAAATAGCCTACTGTTAGAGTTATATAATGTAGTCTTGTGTTTTATTAAAATTTATTATAATTGATATCTCAAAAGGATATGCACTTGTGCGCAGCACTGCAATGCAAGATTTTCATAAAATATAATAACTTGCCATTTCCATTTGTTTCTCACCAAACTCTCAGAATACCTTCAGAATGCACAGGAAATAAGCAGCAGTCATATTTAAAGCAGTTTAAATTAATATTGAGTACTGATTGATGTTCACTTGGATTTTTTTCCCCCATCGAGGGGAAATAACTTAATACTAACTTAATATTTGTAGCCATATGGTAAAATGTATATTTTTAATTGTGTAACGTTACATTCAAAATAACTACAAAATGTCATGCCTTTGAAAAATAAAGAGAACAACAGAATGCGCTGCTTTAGTGCGTCTCGGTCTCTTTGAACATCTTTCTGACGCATGCCACAAACATGAACATGATATATAATTATTTTTTAATTTGGGTTAGTTTTTAACAAGAACTTATTTGTTAGAATTAAATAAACAATATTATAAATAATAAAGTTGTTTTAAATCCGTGTATCATTCGATCATTCGTTTTTTTGATTTAATATTGAAAGTAGAAAAATGAGAAAACGGCTCCTTTTTCGTTATTTTGTTTTTTTCCAAAAAAACGAAAATGAAAATTCAGCTTAAATTTTCATTTTTCGTTCATGGGTGGAAAAATGAATAAACAGCTTGAATATTCGATTTCTACACGTGGGCGGGAATTAAACGCACCTTTCTGCTGATTGGTCAGCCGAAGATCAAACCGTGCCGTCATCAGTTCTTCTGCAGTATCATGCAGCAGAATAATAGTCCTCCACTGCTGCAGTTGTATGGATTCTTAACGCATTTATTGCAACTACATTTAATCTTTTTTCATCAAACAAACAGGCTAATGAATAGCTGGACACAACTCGTACCGGGGCAGAGTCTAGACAGGGCTTTCTTCTGTGTAGATATAAATTATATTCTTTGCATCAGCTGGGCATGGCAGAGTATGATATGACAGCTATCTTAGCCTACCCTGCTCACCCAGTAAGTCTGTTTGTTTGTTTAATTAAGAAATTAATAAATTTGTTTCAAAATATTTTAAACTCTAAGACAAAAAGGAAAGAATAATAAATTGGCTTGGGTTGACCAATGTTCATGCAAGAACTGTCATTCTGACTGACAACCGGAGAACAACCGATATTAAATAGCCTACTGTTAGAGTTATATAATGTAGTCTTGTGTTTTATTAAAATTTATTATAATTGATATCTCAAAAGGATATGCACTTGTGCGCAGCACTGCAATGCAAGATTTTCATAAAATATAATAACTTGCCATTTCCATTTGTTTCTCACCAAACTCTCAGAATACCTTCAGAATGCACAGGAAATAAGCAGCAGTCATATTTAAAGCAGTTTAAATTAATATTGAGTACTGATTGATGTTCACTTGGATTTTTTTCCCCCATCGAGGGGAAATAACTTAATACTAACTTAATATTTGTAGCCATATGGTAAAATGTATATTTTTAATTGTGTAACGTTACATTCAAAATAACTACAAAATGTCATGCCTTTGAAAAATAAAGAGAACAACAGAATGCGCTGCTTTAGTGCGTCTCGGTCTCTTTGAACATCTTTCTGACGCATGCCACAAACATGAACATGATATATAATTATTTTTTAATTTGGGTTAGTTTTTAACAAGAACTTATTTGTTAGAATTAAATAAACAATATTATAATTATTTTATAATGACAGTACATTGAAGATTTGAAAATAACTATAAATAAACTATATATTAATCACTGCATTTTTTTTTCAGAGAGATGCGGTAACCTTTACGTTTTATTTTATGATTTAACATTTGTAAATGGTCTAAAGCAAAATCTTTTAGAGCTCATAATTTGTTTTAAAAATATAACATATTACACGTTAATGAATAAATCATTATATATCAAGTTATTTAGTTTAAGTGTCATGTTTGTGATTTATTTATTTTTTGTTCATGTAAGCTTCTGACCTTTTAAATCAAAATACTCATGATTTTATGGCATCAATTAATGCTTTATTTAATCAGAAACAGTCTAAATATTATTAGTGTATTTTGCTTTCATTTTATTAGAAGTAGGCCAACAGCGCCCCCTACGGAAATAAAACTCCTTACCGAACAGGCATTAGGACCCGGGGGAGGCTGCCGCTGCACGTGCTATCACTGTTTACTCTATCATACACTGAACGCATTCTCAGTTTAAATGCAGCGATCCAAAACATTTAATCCAATCACCATTCAGGCAAAACTTTGCTTCTAGATGAGCCACACTACTGACGTGATCTAATCGCTAGCACACCCTGAGCACATTTGAGTTAATGCATTCCTCTTATCGGCAAGACATATCGGCATAATTTTTCATATCGGGCCGATGCCGATATTTACATTTAAAGCCATTATCGGCCGATTCCGATATTGGTCCAATAATATCGTGCATCCCTATTCTTAATGGATTTACCTGATTTTCCCCAGTTTGAACTGTTGCATCTCTCTTTCTGCTCTTCCAGGAGCCACATTGGCAAAACCATCCTGAGCCAGCCTGCCTGCGTGTCTAAACTCCTGTCTCTGCTCCTGGACCAGCGGCCCTCGCCCAAACTGGTGCTGATCATCCTGCAGCTGTGCCGCGCTGCGCTGCCGCTCATGAGTGTGGAGGATTGTGGGAATGTAGCGCTGCCGTCCTGGAGCTACGCGACGAATGCGCTGGACGCAGAGCAGCAGGAGGCCAGTGATCCTGCCTTCCGCATCGCGTCGCTGCTGCTGGCCAAGCTGGCGGACTACGTGGTGCCAGGTGCGAGAGAATGCAGCTTGGGTTTAATAAAAATAATGAAGGGTCTCTCAAATGTATCATGTTTTATGTGCCTTTGTGTTCAGGCCAAAGACTGTAACCTTCACTCTATAACTGGCTTTGGGGTCGATACAATTTTTGAACATTAAAGTCTGTTCTGCTTTTTGATCAGAAACACAGTACAAACTGTAATATTGTGAAATGTTATTATAATTTAAAATAGCTGTTTTCTATGTGAATATCTGTTCTCAAAGCTGTATTTTCAGCATCATTACTCCAGTCTTCAGTGTCAAATGATCTTCAGAAATCAGTATAATATGCTGATTTGCTGCTCAAGAAACATTTCTGATTATTATCAATGTTGAAAACAATTGTGCTGCCTGATGTTTTTGTGGAAACTGTGATGCAATTAATTTTTCGCAATTATTTGATAAATAGAAAGCTCAAAGAACAGTGTTTATTTCAAATAGACATTTTCTGTAGCTGTATTTTTACTACTTTTTCCAATATTATCATTTTTGGTCATTTAAATACATCCTTGCAACTGAGGGACGTTATAGTTTGCTAAAACTAAAAGAAAAAAATGTTCTGCTTGAAATAACTTAAAATAAATAAATGTAACTTATTTTAATTTCTGCTAGTTGCACAGCATTTCTCATTTTTATTTAGTTTCACTTGATCTACTAAGTTAATTAAAACTGTTTATTTCAGTCTTAGTTTATATAGTTGTAATAAAAACTATATAGACAGTTTTCAAAAATACAAACTAAAAAAAATGTTGAAAATATGCAACAAAATTACTACTTTAACTTAACTTGCCAATTCACAGGTGCTATTTTTTACTTTATTTTACTTTCAGGCACTATTTGTGACCCTGCAGCACAAAAGCAGTGTTAAGTCGCTGGGGTATATTTGTAGCAATAGCCAACAATACATTTTATGGGTCAAAATTATTGAGGTTTCTTTTATGCCAAAAATCATTAGGATATTAAGTAAAGATCATGTTCCATGAAGATATTATGTAAATGTCCTACTGCAAATATATCAAAACTTAGTTTTTGATTAGTAATATGCACCCTCAGATTCTAGATTTTCAAATAGTTGTATCTCGGCCAAATATTGTCCGATCCTAACAAACCATAATTCAATGAAAAGCTTATTTATTCAGCTTTCAGATGATGCATAAATCTGAAATTTGAAAAATTGACCCTTATGACTGGTTTTGTGGTCCAGGGTCACATTTGATCATTTATTTATGTATTAATAATTTACCTGTAATAGTTCTAATATTACCTAATGCTTTATCAACATGCTTATGTAATTTTTTTATGTCCTCTCTTAGGTTTCCAGACGTTGCTCTCCCCCAGCGCCTCTGAGGCCGACACCAGTCTGACACGGGCCTGTCCGAAGAGCAGTGCTAAGACCGACAGAGACACTAGCGAGGAGGGTGAAGCCGTGGATGGCAAGCTGTCCATTTTCATCCATAAGAGAGAAGACCAGTCGTCCCATGAGGTGCTTCAGCCGTTACTCAGGTAAAACACACTCACCTCATTGAACACTTCAGTTCTGACACAAAGTTATGATTGACGTCAGTGCTTGCGTGACGCCTTGCAGCAGCTCAGAGGGTCGTCCTTTCCGCCTCGGCACCGGAGCGAACATGGAGAAGGTGGTGAAGATGGATCGGGACATGACGAAGGTCAGCTCTGGTTTAGTGGCGATGGGTTTGGGGAGCAGAAAGCAATGCTGGAAGAGTGAAATGCCTGTGTTCTGCAGAGCGGCTGCTGTGAGGTGATCACGGAGGAGGCTTCGTCTGCTCTGCGGAAAGCCAATAAGTGGGCTCAGTCTGGGCTTATTGTTAGTGTGGGTCCTCCGATAGAGAGCACAGGCCAGGAGAATGCTGGGATATCCACCACAGGTGACAAGAAGAAAAGCGCCCAGTCTACAGTGTGCAGAGAGAGGAACGCTGAGCTGGCTCGGTAAGCATCTTCATAAGGTCTTCCAGTTTTATGTGCTGCATACCTGCATACTCATTGCCTTTCAGTGAAATGTGATTCGTGCAAATCAGAGGAGTTTTTATATCTGAAGAGGATTGACTGTCTTTGGAAAGGTTTTGATGGCATTTTCTTTTCATCTTACCTCCTTGTTATACCTAATAAAGCAGGGCTATTTTAGTATCATTGAGATGCTATTATAATTTTTCTTAATATTTAGAATATATATTTTTAAATATATTCTGTTTTCATTTTAATTTTAGTAATTTTATGTGATTTTGTCATTTTAGTAGTTTAAAAAAAATCTATTTAGCTTTAATTCAATTTTAGTTGATTTAGTACATGTTTTTTATTTTATTTTGGTCACTTCGTTTTAAGGTCCAATTCTCACCATTAACAAACAATTAACTAAGACTTTTGCCTCAATGAACTACTAATTTGCTTCTTATTAATATTTAGTAAAGTAGTTAACTTAAGGTATTTGCTCATGCAGAATATGTGCTTTATATGGACTAATAAACAGCCAATATGTTAATAATAGGCATGCTAATAAGCAACTATTTAATAGTGAGAACTGGTCGCTACACTGAAGTGTTACATTTATTTTAGTTAAAGTTTATTTTACTTCAAGTAACAATAATTGTTTTATGGTTTTAGTTTGTTAACTATAATAACCCTGTTATAGAGTAATGTTTATTTGTTTGTATTGTTTAAGGACAGTGCTGAAAGTGAAGAATTTAAGACATAAATATTAGTAATGTAACTTGCAGTGTAAAATAATTATTATAATGATCACTTATTTGAGTTAAAACAATATAATATTAATATTAATAATAATAAGCCCTAAATACGTGTCGTCATACTGTATATATAAATAATTTGAAAACAAAAACAGTCCAAAAAAAACACTTAAAAATATGTAATATTTTATCAGTTTATTTTGCATGCCAAGTAACCATTAACCAACTATGAACATGTAAATATGTAATTAAATTATTGAAATATTCACTTAAAATTTTGAAGGGTGCTTTAAGTAAATATTTTATGTTGACAAAAACGTTTGAGAATTTCTGACATTATCATTTATTGAGGTCTGTCATTTTATAAAACATTTTTTTGTCAAAACTTGTGTCATTTGAACTCTGAAGTTGTTAAAATCATAGTTTTTACAGTTTAGGATGTTACTGTAGGCATTGTGACATTTCAAACCAACGTCGCTACCTAAACAACAAGTAATTCTAATATCACAATTTTCCAAAATGATTTCAACGGCTGATTCCAAGAAGTTTCTAGAAGGAGAAATGACTGAAACTCTTTGATTTGACACACAGCTCGGATCCGGTGCGTCCCTTCATCAGCGGTCATGTGGCGAACAGCATGGCTGCGGAGGTCATCGCTCTGCTGCACAGTCTCCTGACCGCACCAGAGTCCAACACGGCTCAAATATGGACCAGCACCGCAGAAAAGGTGCGCTGCGCTCTTTCGTTCCCTAACAAGGGCTCAATTACAGCTGGCCTTAAAATCAAATCTAAAATACAGTTTGTGTTTTGTGTTCACTCCATACTCCTCTCCGTCAGGTGTTGTCCAGGGCCTTGATGTACATCCCTCAGTTAGGCAAGCACGCTGAGAGTATTCTGGAGAGTGGCAACAGCAGCGGCAGGAAGTTAGCCAAACTGCAGGCCATTGGCCGACAGGCCGTGGCGGCTCTCTGCGCACTGGGAGGATTCAAGGAGACCATCAAGATCGGTTCTGAAGTCCAGGTGAGCCATTACTCTAAATTAGAGCCCGACCGATATATCGTTTTGCCGATATTATCGGCCGATATGAGCCTGTCGCAGATAAATCGGTATCGGCGAATATGCCGCCGATATGACATTTTTTTTACAGAACATAAAATGCTTGTAAATGGTGTAATTACGTAGTTTGTCCAGCAGAGCGTGCTCCATTGTTTGCTACTGGCGACCTGGATGAAACGCTTTAAAGCTTAAAGGAACACTCCACTATTTTTTAAAATAGGCCCATTTTCCAACTCCCCTAGAGTTAAACAGTTGAGTTTTACCGTTTTCAAATCCATTCAGCCGATCTCGGGGTCTGGCGGTAGCACTTTTATCTGTAGCTTAGCATAGATCATTGAATCTGATTAGACCGTTAGCATCTCGCTCAAAAATGACCAAAGAGTTTCTATATTTTTCCTATTTAAAACTTCACTCTTCTGTAGTTACATCGTGTACTAAGACCGACGGAAAATGAAAAGTTGCGATTTTCTAGGCCGATATGGCTAGGAACTATACTCCCATTCCGGCGTAATAATCAAGGAACTTTGCTGCCGTACCATGTGTGCAGCAGCTGCAATGATATTACGCAGCACCTGAAAATAGTTCCGTCGGACTTAGTACACGATGTAACTACAGAAGAGTCGAGTTTTAAATAGGAAAAATATAGAAACTCTTTGGTCATTTTTGAGCAAGAAAAATTTTGAACGGCCATATCTCCATAACGGCACGGCGGATCCGCACCAAATTCGGGGGATCCCAAATCGAGTGTACGTCTCGAGGTCCCCTTTCGAATGAGACCACCACTAGTAAGTTTTGTCTGTGTGTGAAGACAGTAGCGCAAATCCGTGAATGAATGTTGTGAAGTGATATAAACTTCAACGGAATAAAGTTGAATGGAATTGAATTGAAATAAAGTTGAATAAACTTCAACTTTACTGTTCAGTGCACTGATGTAACAAAGTTTATTGTTAAATGCCCTGCCTCCATTACATATCTTTGTCATGTCATTATAAGTGTTTGATCACCACATTTGAGTGATCATTGCATAAAATGTGTTTATGTATACAGTATATATTCTGTTTATGTATATACTGTATTCTATATATAGTACCAGTCAAAAGTTTGGACACACGAATGGGAAAGTACTGGTACTGTACTATAATATACACAAAGAATATCAGCCGATATGCGACCCTGGAGCACAAAACCAGTCATAATCGAAATTGAGATTTATGCATCATCTGAAAGCTGAATAAATAGCTTTCCATTGATGTATGGTTTGTTAGGATCGAGACAATATTTGGTCGAGATACAACTATTTGAAAATCTAGAATCTGAGAGTGCAAAAAAAATCTAAATATTGAGAAAATCATCTTTAAAGTTGTCCAAATGAAGTTCTTAGCAATGCATATTACTGATCAAAAATTAAGTTTTGATATATTTACGGTAGGAAATTTACAAAATATCTTCATGGAACATGATCTTTACTTAATATCCTAATGATTTTTGGCATAAAAGAAAAATCAATAATTTTGACCCATACAATGTATTTTTAGCTATTGCTACAAATATCCCCCAGCGACTTAACACTGCTTTTGTGCTCCAGGGTCACAAATATCGATATCGGCCTTTTTTACTCCCTAATATCGGTATCGGGCCCCAAAAAACCCATATCGGTCGGGCTCTACTCGAAATAGACACGGTTTTTAGCAGATTAATTGTTTCAGATATTCACATGACTAGTATCTTGCTGAAGTGTTTGTTCTCGGTGGCAGGTGGTGGGTAAAGGTGTGTTGGACAGTGTTGGGGTCGTCATATCCATTAATGAGCAGGAGGGGATCGCCACGGTCAGGTTTCCTTCCTGCGAGTATCGGCGCACGAGCAAAGCGTCGGATATCCTCACCGTGCCCATATCCCGCCTCTGCACCCCTCGCTCTGAGGTAATCGCCTCTGAAACGTCTGCAGAACGGCAGAATTTCAAATGTTTTGCATTGAATAATGAAAATGTTTTCTGTCACAGATTCATTGCTCATTATTGTCTACCTCATCCTCGACTCTGTGACGTGGAATTATTCATTTCTACTCATAATGCTCTTTGTTATTAACTTGTGAAAATTAACTTTAGCATACTTTTTAAAAAAGTAGCTGATTGTTACAGAAATAACACACTTTAATATACTAAAGTGCGAACTGTATCAACACTCAAGTGCCCGTTAATTGCAATCACATTTTTTTTTCCATTTTAATAAATGCATTTAGCTGAACTTAAGTGTTTTTGACCCACTTAAGTAGGACTCGAGTGCATCTTTATATGCAGTTTTATAATTACTTCTGTAGTATGAAATATGGTAAAAGTGCTGCTGAATGTACTGACAAGCATTTATGACTAAAATATACTTTATTTCTATTGAAACTTGTATGTCATGTATTTAAATCTATTTTAAATTACTAATTTGTAATGAAGTTGCCGTTTAGTGCATTTACAGTCTTTTAACTTTAAATGTAATATTGAATAACACACTACAGTTAAAATGATAATCAAGTACTGTACATGTGCTTTAGTTTGTTAGTCAACACGACAAATGATTATTAAAACAACGTCAAATTAAAAGTCTTTACTTTTTACTAAGTGCATTTTAACTTAACACGTGCTTTTGTTTTCTCTTCACCTTTGAGTTATTTTAGTACTTTCATTTAAACTTAATTTATTTCAGTTCGTTGCCAAGGCAACATTTCTAATGATTTAATATTTATAATTTATTTCATTTCAATCTTTCAATTTCAACTAATGAAAAAATGTTAATGTTAACCGATTCTTTTTTTTTTTCTTCAATAAATGTTGTATTTTTAATAGTTTTAGTTAACAATAACAATTTAGACCACAACTTCTTATTAAACATGACATGACATTTTATGCAAACATGCTTTCAATCAAGACATCCGTACTTCATTGGAATTAAATAACTCTCTATTAAAGATGTGGAATCATCTTGGTTAGTTAGTTAGTTAGTTAGTTAACAAAGAATTTGTAAATATAAAGTAACAACCCACTGTTTACTTACTAGGGATGTAACGATTCACTCAACTCACGATTCGATTCGATTTTTAAGACAAATTATAAATTAAATGTGTCCTTTTATTATTGCTTGGATAAAATACTGTACGTTTCTTTGTGAAATTGAAATATATGATACTATACTAATATAGCACTTGCATATTATTGCTCTTTTGTTGGTTTTGATTGTTTCTATGGTCCTCATTTGTTAGTCGCTTTGTATAAAAGCATCTGCTAAATAACAAAATTTAAATATAATGTAAATGTAAGTAACAAAACTAAATTGAAATTTTAAAACAAGCCCCAAATCAAATAAATAAGTAACACAAATAAAGGCTTTGTCTGTGCTCTCAATTTCAACTAATGAAAAAATGTTAATGTTAACCGATTCTTTTTTTTTTTCTTCAATAAATGTTGTATTTTTAATAGTTTTAGTTAACAATAACAATTTAGACCACAACTTCTTATTAAACATGACATGACATTTTATGCAAACATGCTTTCAATCAAGACATCCGTACTTCATTGGAATTAAATAACTCTCTATTAAAGATGTGGAATCATCTTGGTTAGTTAGTTAGTTAGTTAGTTAGTTAACAAACAATTTGTAAATATAAAGTAACAACCCACTGTTTACTTACTAGGGATGTAACGATTCACTCAACTCACGATTCGATTCGATTTTTAAGACAAATTATAAATTAAATGTGTCCTTTTATTATTGCTTGGATAAAATACTGTACGTTTCTTTGTGAAATTGAAATATATGATACTATACTAATATAGCACTTGCATATTATTGCTCTTTTGTTGGTTTTGATTGTTTCTATGGTCCTCATTTGTTAGTCGCTTTGTATAAAAGCATCTGCTAAATAACAAAATTTAAATATAATGTAAATGTAAGTAACAAAACTAAATTGAAATTTTAAAACAAGTTTAAAATAAGCCCCAAATAAAATAAATATCTTCATATAAACAAACTAAGGCTTTGTCTGTGCTCTTTCCTTTTAAAATTAGAGGCAACCAATGCATTTTAATCATGATCCAAACAAAGATGCTGCATACATGCAACATGAGCAGTTTTTAAACTAAACTGGATTGTATAATTTCGAAATTTGAAGCAAAAACAGAATGGTTTGACTTCAGTTTTGTGAAACTATGCATAAAAAATATCTGCATGAAACCGAAACAGCAGACGAGCTGAACGAGACGCAGATTCACTCTCTGCCAGCAGGTGGCGCTTAAAGCATTTCCTTGGTTTCCGCTGTAAACAAAGCAGCGCTGCACTTATGAACTTTAATATGCATTATACAGAGGCAAGAGGAAAAGAAAAAATACCATCGAAAGACGTAAGTAAGTTCCCCTCAGACATACATTCATATAGACTCCTACACCTAAATGAATCGCGATTTGTTTAGCATCTCAACCGATTTGAATCGTCACATATTTAAATCGATTTTCAACCGGC